ATATCTGGAGGGTGGGTACACGAGGCTCTCTGTCTCCGGGAGGATAGGATACTAAGTACCTACTTGCTCCGCGCGAGATTAAAAATGCCCGGGTGCTTTTGTCGCGTATGTCTAGACCTTAATCTAGTCCTCTTGCATTCTCCACTCTCTTTCAGTCGGGATAGCTCTAATATAAGACCATAAATAAATTATTCGCCAACATTTTCCTCAATAAGCTTCCCGCAAGATACGTGTGTGCGTCAATTTTTCGTAATAAATTTAAAAATTTTGATATTTCCAACTTTCTACTATGTCAAAAAAGATTTTATTCTCTTTTATAGAAAGAGATTATTTTTTTTTTTGAAAGTTCATTTTTTTTAACGAAATTATGAAAGAAGATTATTGTTGTAAATTTTCACGATTCAATATTAAATTCTTGTTGATTAAATTTTCCGACGACAAAATACTTTTACGTGTCACAGTTGCCGTAGGTATTTAAAGTGCTGTTTTCATGCAGCTTTGTAGCCAAGTGTCGCGATGCTTTCGGCTCTCGACGATTTCCACATTTCGCACGCTGCAAAGCGAAGCCTACGAGCTTCTGGATTATGTAAAGGAGCGTGCGCGCGAGAAAGACGGAGAGAGAAAGAGAGAGATAGTAGGAAACTGGAGATATTACGTGGGTTCATTTCGACGTGAATCGATTTGGCAAATTGGTCAATCGCTGAGGGGTCAGAATTTCAGTACTGGCGATGACGGGGTAGAAACGAGGCTGCTAGTACGAGGGGGTGGCGTCGGGTTGTACGAGGATGGTGGAAGGAGAGACGGTGTAAGGAAATTGTTCCGACGTGTCCACTTCCTCCCGGACTGATGAGTTCCGTTCTGCCGTTGGATGGTAGCTTGGGTGGCCCCTTGCAAAAAGAAACCGAGGGTCTGGTCTAAACGCTTCGTACTTACCTACGAGTTTGATCGGAGAACCGATTTCGTGGATTTTGAAACGGGTTAGCGTAACGCGGTTAAAATCGTGACGTATTCGAATCGCGTAACCTGACCCCGAGTCGCGAAAGTCAGCGACTGTAAATTGCGACGAGTTGTAAATCGGAGAAGCGGACATGTGTGCGCTTGTTATAAAATAAGATCCATAAAGGAATTCGTACGACCTATCACGTTGCAGTTCTCACTTCAAATACCTCTCCTTTTTTCTTCTCTTTTAACGAAAAGACGATCAGAATATGGCCTGGCTTTCATTTATTTTTCTTGACAGGAATTCTGAATTGTCTTTAACGACTTTCTTGCTCTTCTCTTCTGGCGTTTTTCACAATGGAAGCTATAATACAAATCATGACGCATGTTTAAGGGGGGTCTTTACTTTGGAAGGCCAAAAAAATAGATGAGGCCTTGACACCAATGAAAGAACATTCCTTGTTAGAAACTTAACAGTTACGAACTGAATTGTTCGTAAGTTATTATTATTTGTGATTCAATTGTCTTAGTTAAGAAAGATTTTCTATCTTGACGTTTTTAACTGTTGGTATCTTTGAAACTTTACAGATTTTATCGCGCGTAATATATTTTGTGGTCTGACAAATGCTGAAGGTCCTCACCATTTTGAAAGCATTTGTAGATGTCGGTGCGCCAACGCTTTATGGGTTTATTTTCTCTTTTATTACGGTACGCCGAAGATGAACCTAAGGTCTTCAGTACAGTATTCGTAGTTTCACGATATTTCTAATGAAAAAACCGGAAAACAAAAAAAGAATTGCGTACGTGGTCGGAGCGAGCGGAAAATTCCAACACGCAAAGGAACAAAGGCGCGGCGGGTCCGTTTCACGAGTGAAAAAACAAGTTTCCTCTCGGAAACAAATGCGGGAAGATCGATCCGCGTTTCGCGAAGCGACGGCGCGGCGCGCCGATTTAACGGGGAACGCGGCCTGAAAATCGGTGGTTTCTGCGAAACGATTCGCCTTTTCAGCGGCGTCGGCACTCGTACGCCAATCGACGGTCAAACGACCGCGCCTCGAACGGAACGAACGCGTGCGTGAACGCACTACGCGGACTGCACGTGACTGCGGCGCAGGTACTCTTTAATCCGCGGCAGCAGCCGCGAGCGGGTCGATAACCGATAACGAGGTCGAGGCATTGCGATGCAAAACAGCTCGTTAAGCGTTTTCTCTAAGGTCGCGCGACGCGCCGCGTCCGTCTTTACCTTCGCCCTCGAGCGGCCGAGTAAAAGACGTTAAGTTCGAGAAGCAGGGTGCGTCTACCGAAGACGACGACGACGACGACGACGATGACGACGATTTTGTGTGGGAAGGGAAAGGAGAATCCTCTTCGTCGCGAACGCCGCTCAAAAGAAGCTTATTATTTCCACGGTCTCTCGCCGCACGCTCCTCCAACGATTTCTACGAGACGTCGCGTAATCCTCGACACGCTCCATCGCAGGAACAATTAGCGTATCGCTCGGCAGAGACGGAACGGTTCCTCTTTAAACTAGATTCGAAGAATTCGCGGGGGTGATTAAGATCCTTTGAATAGCGCTGCGGGCGTCCTTTTGTTCACTTCTGCTTTATTGTACCGCCGCGACGAGACGACTGTCGTTTCGGGGAGATATTTTAATGCCGCGCGTCCGGAAAACACGATTAGAAAAAAGTCGTCTACGCTTCAAAGAAAAGAAGACGAAAGAGACACAAGCTGCCGGTGCGTTGCATCGAGAATAGATTTACTCATTTCAATATCGCAGCGTCTCTCCGCAAGTATATAATTCTCCGAAATACGAGCGTGAATTCATTTATCCGGCAAAATATGACTTGTCTGTTTTTTTCGCGAATGTAATCCGTGAATAAAACCATTTATTATAGGCGTAAACCCGGGGACCGGCAAATTTGCCTCGGCCGAGCGCGTTGACAGTGCCTCCGCATCCGTGAAGAGACCTTTACGAGCGCGTAATCCAGTGCGTACAACCCGATCTACGTACGTAAACGCAGCGCCCCGACCTCCGCATCAAGCAGCCTCTTTCGCATGCGTAGCGCCTGCGGTCGGTGCGTTGTTGGGCAGGTGAACCGGGGCGAGAGCGACACACAGGAGAGGGTGGGCGGGGTAGTTACTAATTGTCCGAGCCCTTCGCCCCTCGACCCGACCCCCTCATCAATGCTGATTGCCTAACTGTAGGACCCTCAAACCCAGATCCTCACGATTCTAGACCGGCGAAGAGGATCGACGTCCTCCGGCGTGTCGACGAAGCGAATCAACCGCTCCTTCCGCGACGCCGTTATATTTGACTCCGTTCCGAAATCCTGTCTCTCTCTCTCTCTGTCGATCTAATTGGAAATAGCTAAAGTAATTTGATAATTTATTCCGGCATATAGAATAATTGAAATAAATTTGATGTTTAGGAAATTTGAAATTTGATGTTTGGGAAATTTGAAATTTGATGTTTGGGAAATTTGAAATTTTTACATCGCGTATTGTGAATCTTTTATATTTGATAATGTACGCGAGAGATGAATTATATTATAGGATTGAACTTTTGCGAATATATATGCAAATCTTGTTGCTCTACGATTAACGCAATTATCTCGAAACATTTCCATTTTCCGTGCGTTTATGCTAATTGCGAGATCGCGAGGTCAAACGCGATTGCTCGACATTGCATGGTATGTAAAATGCCAAACGGTTCTCGTAATAAGAACATTTTGTTCCCGAAATCGTGAGTGGAGGTCTGTGTGTACACCGAAAGTCGATTATTCAGCCCGAGAGATCCGCACGTTCGCCCGTTGATTTTTTTCCAGCCCGTGCCGCGGCTGACTCAATTATACATGACGATTCTTTGAGCAAACATTAGTTAGCGCCGGCTGGCTCGCGCGTCGGATTGGCTTGGATCGGTTCGCCTCGGTTCATGCGGTGACCCTTCATGGTTGCTTGGTTCCGTTGTCTACTCGTCAGCGAACAGCCCCACGGCTACGGGGTGTCAACGCGGTTCTCATTTTCTCGCCCGGGCTAATCTCATTAATCGCCGTGCAAAGCTGCGAAATCGCCAAGTTACGGCGGACGGTCGGTGACTTTTGAAATTTCAGGACAGACTCGAGCGCAATTTTTAATCAAGGCGATCTGATCAAGATTTTACATCGCGCCGACACGTAACGCGTCGCGCATATCGAATTTCTGCTGCAACGTTTTCGATCCGAAGGTATATATCGGCGGCGCGCGTAAACGTCGCACCTGCAACCGGAATGCGAAAATTGAGTTATTCGACGTCACCGAGATTAACTGCGCTCGTACTCTGTGCACCAGTTGACAAACACGACCGGAACAATTCAGAAAAAAAACTATCCCTTACCCCAGGTCGTGTTTCAGCGCGATGCAGCACAGTCCCGACGGACATTTCGCGTCATGCGATATCTCGTCGAATGAACTGAACGTTACCGTGCCGCGACCGCGTGTTTACGTTTTTACGCAAAGAGCGCTGAATTAGGGTACGAGTGATTACTCGCGAGAAATTCTACCCGTGCAAGCACAGCAGCGCACGGCGAATCCGGCGTATTCCGCGCGAAGAACCACTGATTCGCTCGTCGGATTTGCTCGCGGCGACTTGAGAACCGCTGATGTCTCGAGCCTATAGGTACTAATACAGATCTCACGCACTCTCTCTCCCCTCGATATAAACCATTCTCCACCCTTGTGTTCACCGTATGGGATCCCCTACGCACACACGAAAGAGACGGAACGATTGCGCGGCGGTACGACCATTCAGATTTAAATCGCGACAAAAAAATATGGATTCCCCTTGCAGCAGCACGGACGGAGCACGACGTTCCGCTCTCTTTCATATTCTTCCTTTCTGTGCGCGATGCCACGACCGTTCGACGACACTTCTTTCACACTTTTGAGAATAGATCTCGCGCGCGATGATATCGATCATCCTTACGCTATAATGGCGATCGATCGTTAAATTTAACTTTAGAGGTGTTGAAAAGGTGAGGATTGAACATGACACTCTGATTAAACTTTTCCACATAGATCTCGATTTTATTCTTCTCGTTGCATCTCTATATTTACCATCTGTTTACATTAGATCTCTGACTTATAAATAATATTAATATCTTTCTCTTTTGGTCTCTTCCTTTCTTTCTCTCTCTCTCTCTCTCCACCCCTCCCCTTCCTTTTCATTCATTCTCTCATTTATACTTGCACACCCACTTCCATGAACACACAAATGTAGATAAATCTTTATTTGTCTATATAACTACTTCTTTATTGTCCACGCGAACTATATACACGGTATGTACAAAACTCGTTTTTATATGTACAACTATTTACATGTATAATTTATAAAATTCACGATGAATTTTATAAATTTAATAAGTATTAAAGGCTCTCGGAGAATCAATCAACTTATACTTTGACCGTTATTTATACTTCTCATATGACTTGGCTTACACCTTTTATGCGGTGTGTACAAGGCGTATCTTTCGTCCACCATCGATAAGATTCAAAGTAGGAATTGAAATACATATTCGGAACGTATATGTAAACCCAAGCTTATAAGCTTATATATATATATACTTTCTTTATGACCAACCGCGAATTAAGTTCTTATTAGTCTCATTAACACATGTAAATTTAAAAATTTTATCAATAATATCCTAAGAAATATTTTTTACATTTAGAACAAAGTTTTTAATTTTTAATCAACCAATATGATCGCGTTAGTTTTCTCCCGTGTTCTCTTCGTAAAACCGAAGAGAAAAATGCACCTGCGCATGTACAGAAAAACGATAGGTAAGGAGAATTCGTCTTTTGTCTAAAGCATTATCTTCGCGTTGAAGATGCCACCGTTTATCGTATCACTAGCCTTCCGGGATTCCATAGTCATTTTCTAGAACGGCGTTTTAGTACGGTCTCCAGACAGGTTTTGTGGACTGTGACAAGATCTTTGTCGGCGTCGGGCTCCTTTTTGACGGCGAGAGCCTCTGCGAGATAAGCGCGGTAGGCGCTTTCAGCTCGTTTTTCACGCCCTCCACTGGTTTCCTGGGATTTCTGTCCGGCGACGATGACGACGATGATGTGCTCGGCGGTAGGGTGTTCAGTCTAAGAGGCACGAAGGCACTTCGGACCTCTTCGATCGCGGACTCGCTGCCGGATTCGCTGGGACTGTGCGGCGACCTGGACGGACTGCTCGGCATGACCATCGGTGGTATCGCGGACGCCGTCGCTCTATTGTACGCCATGTATTCGGCGGGATATTTGTGGTCAAGTGAGTACGGCGCGAGAGTTTGCGAGAAGCTCGGACTGAACAGATCCGCGGGTGGTACCGGCAACGTTCCTGATGAGAAACAGAGAGAATCGGTTAATCTCGGCCGGTTGTTCGCGCGGGTGTTACGCAGTAGCAAGTCGTATTGTTGTTTTAACGACGGTAGGGACGTAACGCGGTCGCGGAGCGAAGGGACGGTTAGGGCGGGGGGAGGGGGGGCCGTGGAGGGGTCTGCTGTGGGAAAAGGCAGCTCAGACTCACCCCTCGGTCCAGCTCACGGGGTATGAATCATCGGCAGGCGTCGCGGACTCGACGAAATCGATAACGCGGATTCTCTCGTGAGCGCGGACTCTTTTGGAGATTCTTTTTTTTTTTTGTCATACTCGTGATACATGGAGACGCGAAACGCTTTCTCCGTACTTCATTTTCGATTCTTTTTTTCTCTCTTTTTTTTTTGTTTAGGCGCAGTAACTTTGTATGGTCTTACCTTTAATAAAAGGATGAAAAGACCAGGGTTGTGTGAAGTATGCGGGATCCAACCACGGACTGAATAAAGTTAGCCCAGGGAATCCAGTGCCCGGATACTGATAATCTGCAAAATAAATCAGAGACGCTTGGTTAAACTAACTGCCGTTTTCGAGCGACAGAAATAGATTATATCGGTTCGTTTGGTCCACGCGATCGCCAAAATGTTCGGAGCTTTTTGATCTACCAAAGATTTCGCGCAACATCTATATCGGGGCGGTTAATAAAGCTGCGAAACGGGGAGATCGGATTTTGTGAAGGATTTTACAAGTTCTTGGCGCTCGGATGCGAGAGAATGAAATCTCAGTGACGCGACTAACGAACCGGCAAGCGCCAGAAAGGAGGAACTCGGCCACCTATAAAAGCGAAGATTAACAGCGCTCTCCCGGGCAGCAGCTAGTGTATCTCTGTTTATACGAGCGTGGCATAAAATCCGTTATTACGACGTGGCGCGGGTTTTCGTGGCGCGGCACATGCTACCGCCATATGCGGCGCGATAAACAAACGCGTAAACGCGGCTTCTTTTGCAGACGTCTGTCTCTCCCCGTCGCCTACGCCGTCACCGCCAGTTTCCATCCTCCGTTACCGGTTTCAATCCTCCCCCCCGCGTCTCTCCTTCAGCGACTTTTTTCCCCGGGTACCGACCAATAAACAATTTGACTTAATGGGCCACGGCGACCAACCGGCGGCGTGGCGGCATTTCGAGAAAAATAAACGCGGTATAGCTGAAGAACGCGCATCGCCGACGAAGATTTCGTTCTCGCGGCTTGATACGATGCCAGGTTTCGCCGTGTGTGTGTGTACGTGTGTGTATATGTCCTCTGTGCGTATGAATGTGTGTGCTCTTGCGCGGCGTGCGCGCGCTCGCTCGTACACGTGCGAGCCGACGCTCGGCGTCGAGGGCTCGGCACCGTTCAGCGGCACCGCCACCACCTCGCGGTTTGAGGTCCGCCAGATATACGCCGGATTATTAAACGCCCGCGAGGCTCCGACGCCCGTTTGCGGATTCCGCGGTGGTCACGGGGTTTCCGCCGACTTTTGGATCCACTGAACACGCACCCCCTATTCTATTAACAATTGCATTCACGCCCCTTCTTTTTAGACTTCTGTCATGTTTCGCAATCGACTTATTTTTCACGCCATTCTGGACAATGAAAAGTATAGAGAAGTGAAAACGTCGAGTATCGTTATATGAAATTTCATAATTATTTATCTCAAATTTAAATTTTGAAATATTACATGTGTTTTTAGCTGTCTTTCATACAAGAGATTTTTTTCCATGTTAGATTTGAATTTCAGTGATATTGTTATTGCAATCGTTATCACAAGATATAATATATTGTGATTTACTTGATTTGGATCTTGGTTCGCGTGGCCCGTCCACCGTGACCTTGATAGCTTTGGCATAGGTTGCTACTTGGTATGGCATTGAGTTGATCTGGATCGTCAGTGAGAATGATTTTCCTGTAAACGAAAACACAGTCCGTGCCTTAAATCTTTTTGGTGCAAATGGAGAACGTGTACAAGAGTTCTCATTTTCTCACCTCTTCCACTGCGGCCGACGAATCTGAGATCGTTGAACTTGGCGACCTGGCCCTTCATCACGGCCGAGCAATTCCTTAGCTCGCCGCAGCAATTTTCGTCATTGCCTGCCCTGATAGTGACTACGGTGCCGTCGTTCACGTCGTCCAGCGCTATGACCTTGAATGCTACCGGAAGAGATTTGTTTGATCTCCAGTGATTCGGTAGCGTGGTGCATAGGATGGAGGGACTTCCCGTTTGCACCAATTCCCCGTGGCAGTTTCTCAGTCTCTCATATCATGGCCCTGTAGTGATCCATCTCCAACGAAATATCCATTAAATGCATTCTTTTATCAATCCTTGTTACAGGTCCAAGAAACGAAGAGTTTGATCGTATTCTTCAACCAAACGCGCGCAAACACTGTTTTTGTACACGAACAAATATTAATTTTTTTTTAAATTTTTTCCGTAATTCACTATTGTCACATCATGAACAAAAATAACAATATGCACAAATGATCTCTCCCCCCCTCGCTCTCGGCGAAGAAGCCCCCTTGTTTCTCCGATTTGAGTTTCTGTTTCGATTGCACCCTCGTTTCGCGTATTTGTAAAATACGTCAAACAGAACCGACGCGCACTCGATGCCGGCTGAGCGGAGTCTAGTTTTTCGCGGCGGTAGCCGCAGCTATTTAGAGGGGATTTTTCTCCCCTCCAATTTTTCCGGAGCCCCACCCAGGGCAAGCGCGTCGACCAATGAGGACGGCGGTCGTGTTGTGGCCTCCGCGGCTCGCCGCCTTCACCCCTAACCAGGCTTAGGGAGTGCTTTGCGAAAGGGGCTGCCTGCCTGCCTGCCGCCTGGCTCGCGAAGGATGGCTTGGCGCCTCCGCTCTTCCTTAACGTGCACCTACTCGACCTCTCTCTGCCTCGCGTTCACCCTCTTGCTTCCACTTGCTTCTTCTCACCCTGTCGCTGTCATCTCTCTTTTTCCATCATGTTGCACCTGTCTTCCTTACTCGGTCTCTCTGCCTTTGCGTTCTGCTCTCCTCGTCATGCTGGCCTCGTCACTACCTTTCCACCAACCGAGCCACCTACGCCACGCTTACGTGACGACGTAAATTCTCACGCGCACGTGTTCGAACCACCCCCACTACTCGCGACGCGATCTCCATGGCCCGACTCCGACAGCTGCACGCGTTTCTTGACCTCCAAGGCTAATGCGTCCTGCCTAAGCGGTGAGCTGATAGCGCTTCCGCGTACGCTACGATTTGTCTGTCATTCAAAGTACATCGTCGAAATGTTTTGCAAAGAAATATGTTCATGTTTACGAAGAAATGTAATTCGAAAAGAAAGATTAATTACATTGCATTTTTTTAGGAATTTCGAGTAAAGTGTTTTACAATTTCATTAAATATTTCATTTTCTAAAGTTTCTATCTTCTACTTATATTTTGAGCAAAAATTAAAAAAGAATATAATTGTTGAGAAATATATGTATTAGCCAGAGCACATTACAAGAGATATAAGCGCATATTAACCAGGTCATATGAGACTATTAATTGTTGATATTGTCTATTTTAAACTTGCAACAAATTTTTAAAAGTATAATTCTCCGCAAATTGGTTTATTTTATTATTTCTATATTACTTTATCATATTCTTTTTTATTATTTCTCTATCACAAATAGCGTTAAACTCTTATAGAGATATAGTATCTTGCATAGGATGATTTATTATACTTTTGGAAGAGATTTTTGTAAGAATTATTTTAGTAATTTATTAGATTTGCATTTAGATTTGCACGAACATCTGGTATTGGCCTAACAACCTACTTTTTTTACATAGTTTAAAGTAATATATTAATGTTTGCTTATAAATAATGTGCAAATTTTTAATTTTTAATTAAGGTTTTTTAAGATTATTGCTAATTGATAAAGATAAATTTATCAAACTTTGATAAATAAAATAAAATAATTATTGTTTGTAATTATTTAAATTTAAACAATTTTTCTATGTTAAAGGAGTCTTACAAAATTATATAAAAATATTATATTGTAATAAAAATTCTGTTTAGGACAAAGCAAAATATATACTGTATAGAGTATAAAAATATATCGAGAATAATAATTTATTATAAATAAATATCAAATTTAATGAGGAAAGTGAGCTGTTAGACCATTGCCAGATGTATGTGCTCGTCTTTGTGTATTTATTTCAGATTACATATGTTTTGATTATTAATTAGATTCTCTTCGATGTAGATAATTGTTGCTTTAAATTATACCGTTAACACATTAGTCGTTTATTGATTAAATTTATCGGTTTGTTTATTCATAAAATTTATTTATTTATGTTTATTTATTAAAATAAATACACAAAGATGAGCACGTGCATCTGGTAACGGCCTAATAGCCCACTTTCTTTATTGAATTTGATTTTCATAAAAATGAATATTCTATATAGAGTATAAAATATATAAATCAGTTTGATGGCATATTATGTTAATGATTAGTTTATTGTGAGATCATATATTTATTACTTGAAATTAGAGGATAATAATAAATAATTACATCATATGTTAAAAACGTATTTAGTTCAGTAGCATATCGTACAAATTCTTATGAACGCCTATTTATTTTTAACTACGCAATCATAGTGAAAAATTGTGCTTAGAAATTGTATTTAAATAGGCAATTGCATGTAAGTTTTAGCTATTAAACGATTTAACGATTAAAGTGTTTGTATAATTATTATTAAATGATTGCTAAAATTTATTTATACGAATCTTGAAAAAAATGTAAATTACAAAAAATATTTTGAAATAAACCATTAAATTAGATGGATTATGAGAATAGTAAAGAATAGAGGGAATATATTGCAACAATTTGATAAACTTCTTTTAAAATTTGTGTAGATTTAGGTTTTTCGTAAAGAAGGTAGTTCGGTGAAAAGTATCAAGGTAGATGTTTTGTATCGGAAGATAAATGGAATTCTCTGTAATCGGAAAATAGATGGAACAATAGGTAGTTATAGAAGATTTATTGTTTGTTCATTTCAATTGTTTATTTTATACAAAAACGGCCAATTTTAGCTCTTTCTAGATTAATTTAGAAGGATGGGTTATAAATTACAAAATTTGTTACACAGGTTCTTTAATTGTAAACCAGCGGAACTAAAATTTATAAAAAAAAAGTGGTTTTGTTTCTTTAAGATTTTCTAAAAAAGATTTATCTTCTGCACTGCGGGCAACTGCAAACTCCGAAAACGACTATACATTCTTTGTTCTCGACCTCTATTGTCACTTTTTAGTTACAAGTTGCAAGTTACATTATGTAATCTTTGATGTTGGCGACACAATAAAATTGTACGTTATACATAAATTCAATTGATTGATGAGTCAGTTGTATGCTATTGACATGAAAACACAGGATGTAGCAACGAATTGAGGAAAGTTTGCAGATGAGTAAGAAATGCGATAGATAAAATAGATAAGAGAAATAAGGTAGGTAAGAAATGTGATGTGGAAGAGCCTAAAAATTAACAAGTAGAAACTATAATGCAGACAATTTTCGTAATTCTGTGAAAATATTTTTGTCTTTTACAGCAAAAATTTTGTAAAATACTGAAGATTGTGAAAACGTTATTCAAAATTGTACATGATAACGATGAGAGTGAAAGCAGAAGTAAATTATGAAAGATATGGCTTTGAATAAAAGTATGACAGACGTAAAGTATTTTTTTTCTGTATCATGAAAGATTGATTTTTTCTTTGCTGTGAATTTCAGTGTCATTTGGACCAAATTTTGACTGTTCAGTGTCTTTAATAAACATTTGCTTCGGATATGAGGTCGCTTTAAATGCACGGATATATCGATGACAACGCATATAATGCAAACGCGCTAATTTGAAGTCCATTAAAATGGATATATTTTGCGAGAGATAATAAATGTACAGCGTGTTTTATGCGCGTGTTTTATGAGTTTTCGCGCGTGTGCGAAAATGTTTGCTTTACGCGCTCTACACGATTGTTACGCGAAGCCAAATCGTGCGTCATTTTTTTTTTCATGGACGTTTTGTGTGGTCTGTTGGTCATTGTAAATTTTCGAAATAAAGGGTTGTGTCACAAACTTAAATTGCCACTAACCCTCCTTTTACTATTTTTTCTTCGAGGGCTGATTGCTAAAAGCGGGAAAAAGTTTCAGAAAAAGGTCCTTCCATATTTTCCATTATACTACTTTCACTTCTATATATGTTATTTCAAGGTTTTTGCAGTCTCGAACAATTTGCGGTCAAAAGGAACTCAAATTGTCCTAATGTTTTTTTTATGGAGGTTATGGCCATAATATCATTTTTCCTGCCTTTCAAGATGCGTTTATACAAAGGCCAATTGTTAAATTGATGTATTAAGATGTCGTAACAATGCGATATTATCTTTGTTGTTGCACATTAATTGCTTCCATATGAATGCATCTTTGGTCGATCGATCGATAGAGGAATCTGGATAGAGAAATGCGTATATTATCACTGATTTTGCTTTGTTGGCTTTAATTTGGAAAATATATGGTCATAAGTTTTATTATATTTATTATGATTAAAATTAAACTTTTTATGGATAAATCAATATTTAGACTCTTTTGTACTTTTAATTTATTAAATTTCAACATTTGGTGCGTACGCATTTCGAATTTTACGCAAATAATAGCGTTTGATATGTCGCGAAAAGACGGAAGTTTTGAACGTTAATTTAGCATTGTTTTATCGCGCGGCAGAGGGTCGGCTGTGACACAAGTAATTAATAACGGCGCTTCCAGCGAGAGGGTCAAACATAGCTGTAAGATGTGTCATTTTGCGATTCACGACAGCGAGGACTAATTTCTTAAAACATCTCTGCGCGTTAAGCTTCTGTTTCCTCACCAGTGCTCAGCAAAAGCACCGGTCTGTTGTCATATTGTCTAGTATGTTTGCCGTGTCAAAGATTATAAAGACTGCTGTTAGGAGACCGTATTGCTGTCGTACGCTATGCAGATAGCTTGTTAATGGCAAAATAATTAGTAATTCATTATCTTTGATAATCTTAATTACGCGCAATATATCTAAATTTGTTCTTCTTGCGAAGTAAAATATAATTATATAATAAATAGTAAATTAATTTTAGATGTACTTATCGCGAGAAAAATGGATGGGTTGAAATCATTCGTTACAAGTGTTAATGAGACTCGCGAGACGTTTAACTTGTTGCTCATAATTGTTGTTTGAAGATAACAAGTACGACTTCGGCTCTTCGAATCTTAACGGCAGCTCGTGTAACACGTTAGAGTTCGCAGTCGTGGAATTTTCGCGAGAATGGATGCCTCTCGTCGAGAAGAGTAGATGAGAAGTACGATGCGCGGGAGACGCGGAGACGGTGGGGAAGGCGGCAAGCGACGAGGAGAGACCGAGAGCAACCGGGCACAGAAGTTAACACAAGAGAGTGCATTGTGTGCGGTGAGCGAGCCGGAAGCGTCGCCATACTGCGTATCGTCCCGCGTCGCTTTTGTTTCCGTTCTCGTTGCCCCCGATCGTTTTCTGCCCCCGCGCTGCTCATCCCCGCCTGCCTTCGCTACGCCCTTTTGTCTCGTCGGCTCGTCTCTCTTTCGCGAA